GTACCCCAGCTCTGTACGCATAAATAAATACATCTGAAAAGAAAATAAATGCATCTAAAGGTGCCACCGTCTGGACTACTCTGCATCTTCTCCTTTCTACAAATCCAAAGTTTCCAAAATTTTCCCACAATTTAGATTGCCTTTAGAACAGAGGGGATGACGTCGTCGGACAGGTGGGCAGGGGCAGGGCCTGGAGCACAGAGCCCGCCAGGTGCCCTGGGGCGTTTGCAGAGGGTCTGGGCAAGGCAACAGTCGGTTCCTCTTGCTCCCACCATCTCTGCAGCTTTCCTCTAGGGCAGCTCTGGAAGAAAATCTTATTGACTTGGACATAACCTTAACTGCTACAGAGAGTCCCTCACAGCCCATCGGGACCTTGAGGGTCGGGGGAGGGAAGGAGGAAGGACGCGTCCCTGCCCCTGGCTGCTGGGCTGCAGGACGCCAGGATGCCGGCGGCACCAGCCCCAGGCCGCCAGGGCGGTCGGCCGCCTCTCCCGGACAGAGCCCCGGTGGTGGCCAAGGCATCTCCCTACAGCGTCCACTGTCCACGGAGGGCTGGGTCCAGGAATCACTGATGTCGCCCGGAAATTGTTGCGCTGGCGCCACCCAGAGACCAGTGCTGACCCTGACGTGGGAGAGGAGGGGGGGGGCGGGGGCCCCGGAGGCCTGTGCTGCTGGAATAGGCTGTGCCGTGTTCTGCCCAGAGGAGCACAGTGTAAATACGGGGGGGCGTGGCGGTGGGGGGGGGCGAGTGCTCTGCGCCCCCACACCAGCGGTGTGTGTGTGTAGCGCTGCAGCGCAGCCCCGCGTTCCGGTCTCAGCTGGCAGGAGTGGCCTCGGAAGCCACGCGGGGGAAAGCAGTGGCCTAACACTGAAGCCACAGATCCGCGGGAGTAGGGGAGAGGGAGAGGTCTCCCCTTAATCCCAGAAAGGGGCCGTCCATCTGTCTGTGCCATCTGTCAGCGGACAGGGCTCTTCTCACCTAGAGGCGAGGCCCCGTGGTCCACTTTGGGGGGCCTAAGGAAGCGGGCCTATGGGACGAAGGGCACTGGCTGATAAGCCAGCCTCCCCCAGGGCTGCACCCCGAGTTCTGGGAAAGGCAAAAGGACAGAGTTAAAATTTCCCAGGAACCAATTAACTCAGCAAATTCCAGCATGGTGTTAAGGAAGCCCAGGCTCTCTGTACCAAAAACAAAACCAACACAAAACCCTCTGGGCTTCGAGGGGCGCCTGGCATGGACATAAATCGTCTTTATTTACTGTGACTCCATGGTTACGCCGCGTGGTCCCCGCGGCTTCGGGGATCTGAGCGCATTCGTGACCTCGCACCGCCCCCCAGCGGCGCCGGGTGGAGTTGCTCGGGTGGTCCCGGCGCCAGCCCCTGGGCGGGACTCCCGCCGCCCCAGAAAGGGGGGGTCCAGCGGGTGGGGGACCCCCAGCCCGGAAGGAGGCCGAAGCGAGGGGGCGCGCCCGGGGTTGGCGGTGTCGCCGGCCACAGCAGCTCCCCGCCGGGCGCCTGGGGCCCGCGGGGCAGGGTTCGCCCTTCCGCCCGCCAGGTGTATGCACCTGCACCTGCGTCTGCGGTGGTGGGGGGAGCCCCTGCGTGGGGGGTGTTTCCAGGGGAGAGCCACAGCGCTCGGCTGGACGGCCCGGCGTGTAGGGCAGGGGAGGCGCGTGCCGCGACCCCCACCCCCCACGAAGCCTGCCAGCGGGGAAGACGTAAACCGGGTGCGGCGACCCGTCCTGCCCTGTGGCAGCGCAGGGGGCTGCGGGGCACACAGCCTCCGCCTACATCGCCCAAACGCGTGCCAGGCGCTCCGGGGGGCTCTAGCCGACCTTCGCAAGGCACCCCTTTGAGGCACGCCATTACCAGCCCACTTTGAGAGCGAGGAAACTGAGGCTCAGAGAGGCGATCTGCCGGGACCGCGGGGGGGGGGGGGGATGCCGCGCGTGGGTGCCGGGGAGGGCGGGGGCTCACCTTGACGATGAGCGGGTTCTGAAACATGGAATCCCTCACGACCCCCAACCGCTCGTTCTCCATGCCTGGCCGGATGTCGGCCACGGTCAGCGGCCGCCGCGGGGGCGGGCAGATCTGGCTGACCGTGCGGTGCACCGGCTGCTTCTTCTTCTTCCATGGCCTGAGGTCCTGGCGGGGGTTCTTGGCCTCCGCCATCCTGGGGTTCGCCGGAGTCAGCTCGCCGCCTTGAACTTGAGTTCTGTCCAACTTGTGGGTGGGCGCCAAGCCCCTAGGCGGAGCGGCGGGGCCCCCGGCGGCGCCACCGGACCCCGGGGTGGGCCCCTGGAGCAGGGCCCCCTCCGCAGCGGGCACGACCACCTCGCGCTCCCTGTCTCGTTGCCAGGAGCCCCAAAGCCCCTGGATAAGTCCTGGTGTTTCCTCTGGGCGTCTTCTGGGCACTGCGCTGTGGACCGGAACCAGGAGCCGGTCAAGGCTCCCCTGTAGGCAGAATGGGACGGTCCGTCTCCACGGTGACAGGACGCCAAGGGCCAGTGAGTTTGTAGAACGTTTTCCTTTCAAGAAACTTCTTGGTCACCAAGGTGGGCCTCTTTAGAGCTTTCGCGTGTGGAGTGAGGAAAGGACCAGACTCACAACTGGGTCCTGTTAAAAGCGATGGGGGTCCTCTGGGCTCACAAGTCAAAAGTACCCTTATCCTTCCCCACCGCACAGGCTGCCGCTTCTCCTCCCTTCCCCAGGATGGGTGTGCACAAATCCTGCCCCTAAATTCTCCCCATGAGATAGAAACCGGCGCCAGGCCTGATACTTCTGCTCATCCACAGGTGACCTCAAACCAACATCCGCTTGGACCTTCTATGAAATGGGTGTGGAGGTTAAGGTCCACGGTGACCAACGTTGAGAAGCAGGATGGAGGGACACTGAGAAACACAGATTGACACAATCAGACTGTCTGGAAATAGGGCCCCGGGAGATGCATTTGAAAAGCCTCCTTTGTCCACCCGTCGTGGACGTCTGACGCAGCTGCTTCTCCGGTGTGTTGTAAGAGAGCCGAACCACTTTTTGAAGGACCTGCAGACAGTGTCACATTTGACCCTGAACACTTCAGCAAGCACCTGTCCGGGCCCTGGACGGTCTCCGTAGCTGTATCACCGCTATCAACCCGCTAGGCCTCAGGCGACTGAATGGCCATGCCCGGCGTTCGGGCACAAGGCTGGGAAGCTGCACTTTGTGAGTTTCCCAAGTGGTTGGTGCAGTGTTTGTAGAGCCCTGGTCTGGTGGCCTCAAGTCTGCCTTCCAGTCCCAGGCAAGTTTGTGGGTTCATCCATCCATCACCACCTTCATTAAACATGTACATCTCTTCCAGGCTCAAGGGGTTCACCCAGACTGAACTGCACCAAGGACAGGTGAGATGGACTTGCACATGCTCAGCTAGGGCCTGGAGCAGCCTTGGGGTGACCTAACAAAGTGCTATGTGTATTTATGATTTCTCCAGGCTGCTTCACTCCCGGACTTTCAGGGAAATGTAAGTCGTGCACGTTTTGGCCAAACCACATGGCAGCTCACACAGAAGTAGCAGGGTGGTGCAGTGAGGGGCAGGCAGGGCAGCAGTCAGCCTCCTTGGACAGAATACCTCACGCCCTGGCTTTCTCCATCACAAGGGATGGAGAAAGTGCCTTCCACAAAGGGCTGTTCTCAGAGAAATGAGAGGATGGTTGCCGATGCAGGGTATGCCCACGATACAGTGAAGCTCAAAGCTTGGCTGGTGCAGATACTGACCTCTACGTGGCTGGGTTCAACTTTGTTTTTTAAAGATTTATTTATTTATTTATTCATACAGGACTAGGGTAAAGGCCAGTATTCATACACTGGGGGGAGAGAGGATTCACCAGAGTAGGGAGCAGAACAGTCCTACTGATGAAGTACACTGCTGAGGGGAGCAGCGGGCGAGGCAGGAGAGGTCTGCCGCGCCATGTGGGTCATCTCCGGGGTGGGGATCAAACTCTCACTGAAGTGATGCAGCTAGCTTGCAGTGCTGCACTTTAACCCACTGCGCCATCATGGAGGGTGCATTAGGTCCTATGTGCAACATTTTTAATCATTAAAAATCAAGACTCGGGCCCTCCCTGGTGGCAAAATGGGTGAGGACGCAACACTGCAAGCTGGCCACAGCCGCTTCAGTGCGAGTTCGATCCCCTCCCCGGAGGTGACCACAGGGCGCGGCAGACCTCTCCTGACCTGCCCGCTGCTCCCCTCAGCAGTGTACTTCCTCAATCTTCCTGTTCTGCTCCCCACTGTGTCTCTGGTGAAGTCTCTCACTGCCTCTGCACCTCTGGCCCCAGTTCTGTATGAATAAATAATCTTTAAAAAAATCAAGACTCAAGAACAAAAAATGAAGACTTAGTTGAAATCGGACGATTGGAATTGTAGCTCCAACCTTCACCTAAGCGTAATTACACCCACTCCTGCACCAGCAGCCCCTGCCACCTTCGCGTTCCTACACTCTGCCCTTCACTCACTGGGCTCCAAGTGCCCAGGCCTCTTTCGAGTCCTCCAGGGACCTAGTTCAGGCCCTTTGTGTCTGTGTCCTCACCGCGTCCACCTAGATTTCTGCTGCCCCTTTCACTTAGAAGTCAGCTTAAATGTCACTCCTCCAAGAGCTCTCCCTCCCACCTGAGGTGGCAGCCACCCCGTAGTATTCCCCTTCGCGGATGCTCTGACGCTGCCCTCGGGTCTGGACCTCACCATCCCGTTCATTTCTGGAGCTCGGCAAAAACCGTGCCAAGCAAACGGGCAGCGTGCGTGAAATCGCGAGCCACCTGCAGCGTGAGTGAAATCGCGAGCCAATGGCAGAACTCGGCGCGCGTCTTCGTTTCAGGGTTCGCTCGGCGCCCCCCTTCCCCCGGCCGCAGGACCCGCGGGCGGCAGGCAACGGTTCCAGCCGCGGTGCTGTTGCTATGGCAGCGGGAAGCGGCGAGCGGGCCGGAAGTGACGCTCTCCGGCTTCCGCTTCCACCACCACACGCTTCCGGTTTGAAAAGCAAGTGGCGGAGCTTTCGGAGCGCGGCATAAAGTCGCCTTTTCCCGCCGATCGGCTCTTTGTGGACGCGCCGGCGTAAGTCGCGCGGGGGCGGCGGCCGCCTCGGCCCTCGGGCGGCCGCAGGGCCAGGAG